AAGCTGGTAGGCCCACATGTGAGAGAATGGGTCTGTGTGGTCAGTGTGCACCACATAAAAAAAATCATGCAGCACACATTGCGTAATGAGAAAAAAAAACTGATTGTTTTTTTGGAATAAAACGCCGACTTTGAGGTGTATTTTCCTATAGTATTTATCGTTGTATTCGCGTTTTCATGGTCTTAGGTGATAAAATGGAAAACATATTACAGAAATAGAGATGATTTTCATTACTTTGACGATGAAAACTACCTTAAAACTGAGCTCAAAGTAGCGGAAATGTTCGATTTTTACCAATGTTCAGGAGTAAATAAATCACACCACACGTCCAATACACGTCAACTGGGGAGTCTAATATTCTTTCACTAGTGCACTGATATTATTTATACCATTTTTACAATAATGCAGTAGTCTGCATAACAGTAAATTTTGTATTTTTTTGTATGAATAAAAAATCAAAATAGAAAGCAATAATAATATAAGAGGGGCCTAGAGATGTGACTAATGAACAGAACGTATGTTATTTTAGTGCCACGAATGTCTACCTTGTTTATTCTGGACCCTATTTTGAAATTGGCATCTTTTTTAGTTTGCGTGAAATTGGCCAAATTGCCAATTTCTGACCACCATATTGGGTAGTCCAAATTAGTAAATGGGAGGTTTCTTGTACTCAGTTGATAGATAAAATGGAGTTCTAAAGAAATAGCCATGAGTTTGGTCAACTGGAACAATGGAATTGGCTGAAAATAGGGCCCAAAGTTGGCAAAATCGCCGATACGCATATGTCGCCGAGACCGCTAACTTCGCGGGAGCATAATTCCATGAGTTTTCGACCAAATTTCGAACTTTTGGTGTCATTACCATCGGGAAAAGATTCTCTATCATTTCATAAGAAAAAATAGTTTTTTTTTTTGTTTCAAAAATTGAGCGACAGAATGACAGTTTCAGAGAGGGGCCTGAAACAGTGAAAGGGTTAATTCAGCTAACAAAAAAATCGGTTAAAGAAAAGCTCTTTGGAATGGATTAATGTTGTTGCCCGAGGGTCCACTACATCCTGTTTCTTTAATTTCATGCTGGTGGATGGATGTCAATAAAGTTACATCATGTTTGTCATGTCATCAAATTGCCATGGTGTCTTCGAAATGAAATACCTGTTGCACTCCACCACCAATATGTGCATTGAACCTGGGCACTTTACCACACTGCACCACACACCTGAGTTAAGGGCTTGTGCACCTATTATGAGTGTATGCTCCTTACCAGGATATGGTTCCACCATTTTCGTCACATCACCACTGGATATTCCTAATAACATCTTGATATCTTGCAATATTTTCCTTCCTATGTACATTCATGATTGTCATAAAACTGGTAGCATGATACCAAAGCATTTTCTCTTGCTTGGTATATGTTGTTTAAATGATAGTCTGCCCTTGAACAGGATCAGACTCGACACTGACGAGGTTCCAGAAGGGATAAAGGAACTTGGTGAATTTGTTTTTCAGGTACATAAAAACATCCCCGTCTTATGTAATAAGTCACTTCTGTCGGGCCTAGTTTTGTCTGAGAAATGTAGGCTGTTCAGCTACAGGATAAACCTGTTGACAGGAACGAGATTAATGAATGTGGGGGTAGATGTTAGCTGTTTTGTCTTGTAGCATAAGCATGATTGTGGCAAGGAAGAGATACATCTCAGGCACAGTTGTGTCTATCCACCTGTGAAATTGTAACTGTGGTGAAACAAACATTCTTGCCATTGTCTACTGGTAATATAATTTGGCAGGATTCCACTGTGTGTTTCACTAGATTGATGGGGATTGGTCACAATATGTTCTTCTTGTCAGTCACAGACAGTCTGGCAGTGGTAGTGAAGATGCTATTTTTTTTTGTGTGTGTGTGTGTGTGTGTTTGTGTGTGTGTGAGTGCTCACATGTGCATGTGGTGGATACAGCCTGGGTTGTGGGACCTGGCTTCCTTTCAGGGCTGGTGCTGGTGCCGCACGGTTCTTTGTCCCTAGTGCTATATATGTCGCCAGCATAACGTGGAGGAACTTTCTTAAAATTGTATGTGAGAAATTTATTTTTTTTTAGGAGGATAGGTTGCTGTAAATGGATATGCCATTGTGTTAACAACCAAAAACATATGTGGTTTTATTATGACTATGTGGTTAAAAGGAATGTTGAATATGGCACAGGATCTGTGTGTATATGGAGTTTTTTTTATCCAATATCAATACTGTAGGGGATTTTCTAATATGCTTTAATATTTACAGGTATCACAAACAATAGCAAGGGGTGGGCCCCGGTGTCAGATTGCTATTCCAGCCCAAGGCATGATAGAATTCCGTGATGCTCTACAGGAGCTACTCGATGAATTTGGTACAGATGATGGTGGCTACAAAGGGGAATTACCAGAAGGACGACATATGCGAGTAGAAAACAAGAATTTTTATTTTGACATAGGCCAAAATAACCGAGGAATCTATATGCGTATATCTGAGGTAAGGAAGCATAATTTTAAATACTATATGCTTTTTTCCTATTCTAAATAAAATATTTGGTTAATTGTTTTTCTTCTTTGTAATGGTATTTATAATATCTCATACGCTTTTCTAAGATATTTAAAGAATGTATGAGATTTTGCAAAACATTTCCTTCCAAATAATGACTCCAGTAGATTTTGTAGAACATTTACAGCACCCTACAAGTATATTCTTACTTTTATTCACTAGTAATTAAAAGTTCATTTTGCATGAAACTACATGTATACATTTGCTATTGCAAAGACCTATACAAGTGAGTACATACTGTATATACTACTGTACACAAATAACCTGCACTTAGGAGACAAACTTACAATGTTTTGGTCCGATGTGGACCATTAACTAGTCACACAGAGAAGCATCAAGGGAAGAAAGCAAGAATATATGTGAAAGGGGGGCAGGGGACAGAAATTGTAGACCTTGTGGAAAGAGCAGTAGTAGTAGTGATGGTAGTTAGTAGTAATAATGGTGGTGGTGGTGGTGGTAGTAGTAGTAGTAGTGGTAGTGGTAAGTAGTACAGGTCAACCATCATTAATGTGGCATCATTGGGACATGTAGGTTGCCAGATCAGTGATGGCTGACCTGTACCATTTCCCTCCATAGTGTCCACTTGTATTGCCGAAATTAGTACTGGATTAGTGATGGAATTGGATTCGTGATTGCAGGGTCAGTGATGGCTGACCTGTAGTAGTAGAAGTAATAAGAACATAAGAAAGAAGGAACACTGCAACAGGCCTACTGACCCGTGGAAAGCAGGTCCATGCCACCCCCCGGCTTAGAACAATGACCACCTAGTCAGGTCACTTCCACTTAAGGAAGGAGCATGGCACCAGACCTGGTAGCCCAAGCTAGTCAGGTCTAACTCACACCCACCCACATCCACTCATGTATTTATCCAACCTATTTTTAAAACTACACAAGGTCTTAGCTTCTATGACGGTACTCTGGAGTTTGTTCCACTCATCCACAACTCTATTACCAAACCATTGCTTTTCTATGTCCTTCCTGAATCTGAACTTTTCCAACTTGAAACCATTGGTGTGAGTCCTGTCTTGGCTGGAAGTTTCCAGCACGCTATTTACATCCCCTTTATTTATTCCTCTTTTCCATTTGTACACCTCAATCATATTCCCCCTAATTCTATGCCTTTCTAGAGAGTGCAGATTCAGGGCCCTCAGTCTATCCTCATAGAGAAGATTTCTGATACATGGGATCAACTTTGTCATCCTCCTCTGTACATTTTCCAGTGCATTTATATCCATTCTGTAATATGGTGACCAGAACTATGCAGCATAATTTAAATGAAGCCTAACCAAGGATATATAGAGTTGAAGAACAACCTGAGGACTTCTATTATTTTTACTTCTTGATATGAAGCCAAGGATTCTGTTATCTTTATTACGAACACTTATGCACTGTTGTCTTGATTTCAGATTACTACTAATCAGACTCCTAAATCCTTTTCACAATCAGTAGTATTAAGATCTGCACTATTCAGTTTATAAGTGGCATGGTTATTGTCCTGTCCAACATTTAGAACTTTGCATTTGTCTATATTAAACTGCATCTGCCACTTCTCCGACCACTGCATCAGTCTATTCAAATCATCCTGGATTGCACTAATGTCCTCAATAGAATGAATTGGACGGCCTATTTTGGTGTCATCAGCAAATTTGCTTGTGTCGCTATTTATTCCCTCATCTATATGTAAATTGTGAACAACAAGGGGCCCAACACTGACCCCTGTGGAACATCGATTGTGACGTGCCCCCATTCTGATTTCTCCTCATTTATGGAAACTCTTTGTCGCCTATTTGTCAACCATGCCTCTACCCAGGAAAAAATTTCTCCGCCTATTCTGTGTGCCTTAAGTTTCCTCAAAAGTCTCCGATGTGGAGCTCTATCGAAAGCCTTACTGAAGTCCATATACACAATATCATATTCATTACCATGATCTACCTCCTCAAACACCTTAGTGAAAAAAGTAAGCAAATTCGTAAGACAGGAACGCCCCTTAGTAAAACCGTGTTGAGATTCATTTATCAAATTATACCTATCAAGATTGCTACGAATTGCCTCGGCAATTATTGATTCCATAAATTTTCCTACTATGGAGGTAAGGCTTATTGGTCTATAGTTCGAAGCTAAGGACCTGTCACCTGCCTTGTAAATAGGTACAGTAGGGCCCCACTTACATGGCAGGTTAGGTTCCAGGCTACCGCCGTAAAGCGGAAATCGCCATGAAGTGGAACACCCTTTTTTTCCACTTATAAATGCATACAAATACTAGATACCAAGTTTACACTAACATATATTAAGTTAGCAATAGAACTAGGCATCAAAAAAACAAAAAAAAGTACAATACACATATAGTGCACTCATTACTTACCTTAAAATATTTATAGTCTTAATCTAGGGTGAGACAAGTAGTATTTATTGTAAGAAATCAAGTGCGGTATGTATGGTAGTCATCCGGGCTACCATACCAAGCCACTCCCACCTACCCATAATATTCTATGATATTTAAGCATCACAGAGCGATAAAATGTATATACAGTTCATTCATTACTTACCTTAAAATATTTGTAGTCTTAATGTAGGGTTAGGAGTAAGTAAATGAGATAAAACGAATAAATGAGAGAGAGAAAGAATGAGTGCATGAGAGAGGACAGGCACAGAGTTATGTAAACAAACCAGGCGAAGGTAAGTTTTGTAAACAAACAGTGTACACGTCTGGTTTGTGTACAGGTTGTCTCTGCATTGATACGGTAGAATAAATAAAGAAGAACACTTCCATTCTCTTGTAACATCATTTTGAGAAGAAATGACGCTCTGAGTGAAGGCAATGGAAATAAGTCACTGACGTTTTTTGTGTTATCCTGGGTTCTCTACACATATGCTGTTATGTATGATAATCTATGTAACTGTATTTGTGTATACCTGAATAAACTTACATATGAAAGTAATAATTTTCTACAGTTACCCCCAGTAACACATTTTCTCTTACGTTAGACTAGAGAAAATATTATTCTTGCCGTCACTTGTACAAGTTATCCGGCTACCACATCTCATATTTATTTATTTATTCTATTGTGGGGTGTATTTATTATCTTTTTATGTTATGTATCATGTTTATTATATAATTTTAAAAAAATACCATGGATGGATTAATGAAAATGTGCATATTAATGTAATATAAGACATTTAATGAGACTCGGTGATTATTATTATTATTTCTAATATGGCGTCACTTGTGCAAGTCGTCTGCTACCACATACCATATTTATGTTTATTTATTCTACTGTGGGGTGTATTTATCATATTTATATGTTATGCATCGTGTTTATTATATAATTTTGAAAAAATATCATAGATGGATTAACCCTTTGAGGGTCAACAGGCCCTCTCCGAGACTTGTTCTCAGGGTCGGCCAAATTTAAAAAAAAAAAAATAATTTTTTCTTTTGAAAAGATAGAGAATCTTTTCCCAATCATAATGACGCTAAAAGTATGAAATTTGATGGAAAACTTACGGAATTATGCTCTCGAGAAGTTAGCGGTCTCGACGATGTTTATGCATCAGCAATTTTGCCCACTTTGAGCTCTATTTTCGGCCAATTCCAGTGTACTAGTCGTCAAAAATCATAACTATTTCTCTAGAACTCCATTTTTTCTATTGAATGAGTACAAGAAACCACCCATTTACTGATTTCAACTATTCAATACAGTGGTCAGAATTTAGCAATTTTGCCAATTTCACACAAATTTCAAATGATGCCAATTTCCAAATAGGGTCCAGAATAAACAAGAAAGACATTCCTGGCACTAAAATAACATTTCCTCTGTTCATTAGTCACATCCCCACCCCCCTCTTATATTTCTTTGGCTTTCCACTTTCAATTTTTATTCTTACAAAAAATAGAAGATTTACTGTTATGCAGACTGCTGCATTAGTGTAGAAATGGTATAAATAATATCAGCGCACTTGTGAAAGAATATTAAACTCGCCAATTGATGTGTATTGGACGCTTGGCATGATTTGTTTACTTTTGAACTTTGGTAAAAATCGAACATTTCTTCTACTTTGTGCTTAATTTCAAGGTACTTTTCATTATAAAACCAGTCAAAATCATCTCAATTTCTGTAATATGTCTTCCATTCTATAAAATGAGACCAAGAAAACTAGAATACAACAATAAATACCATACAAAAATACAGTGGACCCCCGGTTCATGATATTAATCCGTTCCTGAGAGCTCATCGTAAACCAAAATTATCGGAAAGCGAATCAATATTCCCCATAAGAAATAACGGAAATCAAATTAATCCGTGCAAGACACCCAAAAGTATGAAAAAAAAACTTTTACCAAATGATATATTAAGTTTAATGCAATATAATAATTACAATAACAATAATAACAATAGAATAATCACAATAGAATAATTGACACTTACCTTTAATGAAGATCTGGTGATGATTGATGGGATGGGAGGAGGGGAGAGTGTCGAAGTTTTTAATGTTTAGAAAGGGAATCCCCCTCCATTAGGACTTGAGGTAGCAAGTCCTTTTCCGGGGCTACTTCCCTTCTTCTTTTAATGCCACTAGGACCAGCTTGAGAGTCACTGGACTTCTGTCGCACAACATATCTGTCTATAGAGGCCTGTACCTCTCGTTCCTTAATGACTTTCCTAAAGTGGGTCACAACATTGTCAGTGTACAGGTTGCCAACACGGCTTGCAGTAGCTGTGTCAGGGTGATTTTCATCAAAAAAGATTTGCACTTCAAGCCACTTTGCACACATTTCCTTAATTTCAATAGTCATTAGCACCCTTGATCTCGATGGGTTGGCACTAGAAGCTTTCTTGGGGCCTATGGTAACTTATTTTGCAGAAACAAGCACCAAAAACAGTGATAATATGGATAATATAGAATGTATCCTTAGATGCGCGCACACTGGC